TGTTCAAACTGATGCAAAATAAAAAAAAAATACATTTTCACCTAATAAACATTTTCCCTGTAGCTGTCAGGAAAATAAATCCAAACATAGAGAACAATCAAGGTTGTCAGTATTAAGACAAAGCATTTGTGGTAATGCGCATTTTGCTTCCTGCTGAGGCTTGTCAGAGTAACTATTCTTCTCTGAAAGGTGCAGGGCAGGTGCCAGCAGTGTACTGTGTGAGTCTGGTTTAGAAGAACAGTATAATAACACAGTCCATTTCCAGCAGCAAAGAAGGGGGTGTGGATCTGAACTTCTGTCTCACGTAACATGTCACCAAATCTTGGCTTTAGGAAGGCATATTGGCCAGCAAATACATGCACAACTTTACTGCAGATACTATTTAAACAGCTATGTTTTGTCTTCTTTTAAAGAGGCAGTGACCTAAATGGACATCCTGTGGACATATCAGACATTTTTAAGGCCTATAAAGCCACACTGTAACAGATGCCCTACATTTTCCCTATGTCCTTCTCTACTGATTTAGGTATAGCATTTGATTTGGCTCCATGTAATAAGAGACACCCTGTCAGAATTGTTCCTTTAGGAGCTGGGCAGATTTGCTTCTCTAGAAATGCTTTCTAAGCTTTCTCTTGGTGATAGGCCAAATTTTACCAGACACTGCAGCAAGGTCATAGATATCAGTCTGTCCACCTCCCACCTGTCTAATGGGTAGCTCCTGCTACTGCCCACCTCTACTACAGGGACACCTTATAGTAACCCAAATGCTCTCTATTGAAACCAGTTTCATGGTCAGTCTTGAGTAAAAAAAAAAAAAAAAAAAAAAAAAAAAAGAAAAGAAATTACCTTAGAACATGAAAGGGTCCTAAGTGTAACAAAAAAAAAAAAGCATCACAAACATATGTGTATAATACTTTGAATTAATGTATGATTAGCTTATTTTTAGCTGTATTTAACTGCCATAGAAGATAAATAATTAATTAATAGTAGTCAGTAGTCATTAAAACCTCTCTGCACTGGATACAATCCCCATCCATTAGTCAGCTGAGCTGAATGAAAGAAATATTGACAATTTTTTGTGAAACAAAACCATGGTATTCATCAAAGACATTGTGTTGCCACTGAAATCACAAACTCATAGCCTAAGGCCTGATGCTGCCAACAAATTTGTGTGGGTGGAACTTCTGGTCACTCCTAGTAGCAAAAAGATCTTAATGGTAGTTTAAGTAAATATTTGGAAAAATGTAGGAAATACTCAGTTGACCTCAAATTAGAAGCAAAATTACCACTATTATCCCTAAAGCCAGGATTTAACCCACCATCTAGCTGTGTATTTGAATGCACTAACAGTTCAATAAATATCAATTTCATTAGGAAGTAGAAAGAAAGAGCTTGAACTTTTTCTGCTAAGTTTGCTTGTGTACAGAGGTCTTTTATAATATAAATTTAAAAACACAATCTGTTTTATAATGTTTTCCATCAACTCTCTTCTCCATATGTTCTCCCACTAGGAATCTAATGAGTTCTACATATGAGGGATGACAAGGGAATATGCCTGAGAAATAATTCCAGCAATAATGGCATATGGAGGCATTGTTTTTGAGTCACTTTTGCCATGAACATTAGGCAGAGCATCTGGGACCAAATTATATCTACCTGCCCATGGACATTAGCAAAATCATCATCTTCCATTTGTAAATTCTGCTGAGGAAATCTGACATACAGAGAGGACCATTACATCAGCTTTATGATCAGAAGCATATTAAAACAGAGTACATTTATAGCTAGAAAAAAACTCTTCTCTTTAGAAAGAATAGCTCAAACTAGAAGATAAGATAAAATTATAGAAACATTGTCTCTCTCTCTTCTCTCGTGTTCAGTTCCAGGCCACTATTTACTAAAAAAAAAAATTCTCATCATTACTGGAATTTTGAAAGAACTGACTCGATTGCAGGACATGAGAAAATGACAAAAAATACCCAAACAAAAAACCCCAAAAAAACCACAAAACTATGCACAAACTCTAAATCAGTAATATTAGGGATTATAGTCTCTTGTGCCCAAATGTGACAAGGCACCTGTGATTAATCATAAGGAGGAAACAGACTAAAGAAAAACCTACTTTATATGGAGACATAGTGACTAAAGTACCATTTTGTAAGTTCTGATTTAAATACTAAGACATAAGGCTGGAGTACAGTTTTCAAGTACAGTTTCTGTCATGTTTGTTATGATAGTAAGAAGAAAAGGGTTCAAGAGATTCAACCACTATGCTTATATGGAGTAAACTAGCAACTCTCCATACTCCTCATACTCAATAAAAATGTCTCAGCAATGTGAGTAACATAAGTATTTTTACGTGTTGTTTTCCCAGCTGTGCAGTTGAAGAGTGAAAGCCATAAATTCCAAACTGCAGTGTCCTTAGGTTACTCAGTGTTGCAGCAAAAAAAAAGAATGTCCCTGCTGTTATAGAGGATCTAAACCAAATTTTACATTTCACAGTTATGAACATAAATAAAATTTGAAGAGCTGATATAGAAGTTTTACTGTTAGGGTTACATATATGCAATAATATTTCTATTACACAAATTATTTATTTAATTTAGTTGATTGATAAACTGGTTTTCAGAACTGAAAGCCAGATATATTTCAAGTCTTTCAGTCACAGCTAATATTGGTGTGATTAAGGGCATTTAATCAAGATAATCTATTATTGAGGAATAATTGGATCTCACTACCAATTGCTACACAGTTTGACCTGTATATTTGCAAGGACAGAGTGAAAATAGTAGTTTCTTTAACCATTAACCTGAATAGTGAGAAATATGTAAAAGTTAATGAATTTGCTCAATCAGAATTTTCTAAACAAAATGCTAAACATTCATCTGCATCTGATGGCCTTTTACAAACCACACTGAAGGCACCCAGGTGCCTTGCCATTTCTGTCATCTGGCTTTGGAAAAAATCCCAGAGACACGAGTTAGACCTTTCCTACCCAGAGAACAGGTCTAAGGTCCTACTGTCACTTCCATAGCCACAGGTTCAGGATGCTGACTGTGCCCTGTGCTCACATGTTGGATGCACTTCCCCAGACCCTACATCTCTAGTGGTGAAATTGTACTTCAATTGTTTGACTCTCCCAGCATCCTATTCACAGCAGTCTGATAAAGAACTGTCACTCCCTTACACAAGAGTTTCCAGTGTCACCATCAGTGGCCCTCCTTCCAGATAGTCTTAAATTAGTTTTGGATAAAGAGACATTGACAACACTTGTAATCTCACCTGCTAAAACAAAGTTGTGGGAAATTCAACCTTTTCATATACTATCTCTTCTGTAGTACAGATGAATACAGAATATACAAGAAAACCCAGACATATTTTGCTAAAATATTTGCAATGACTGTAAAGTAGTGTCCAAAAGTTAAATAAGCTCTTACAGAAACAAGATCAAAGATGTAATCTGGAAATATTCACTCATTCTGTGAAAGAACAAACTGAAAAGATTTTCAGGATACAAACGGTGTTATAAAGACAAAGTGATTAGGAAATTCTTATTTTTCAATTTAAGACCACTGAATCCATGAGAAGTCATTTAATGGCATCAGATTGTTCAGGTGTGAGAGGTTTGATGCAGAGCTATCTAACTTTTGGCAAAAGGAAACTAGAAATTAGGGGCAACAGTTCTCTTGCAAATAAAAACTGTGCTCCTTTTCCTTGCCAATAGATTGGTTAACAACAGATGTGTAAAATTTGAGACATGAAGGAGGAGACAGTAAATCAACAGAAAAGGATGCCAATCACATATTTCTGTTTTGTTGTTACAGACTTCCATGCATTACCTAGAAATTATAGAAGCTAGCTCTAAAATTATAATGAGAAAAAAAATCCCTGCATATATTTTTATGAAAACTAACAAATTAAGATACTTTATATCAGATTTTTTACTTTCAAAATTAATGCACTCCTAAATCATATAGATTCTTAGCAAAACAGCTGCATTGGTTTGGTGAAGTACTGAAATGCTACACCAGTAACATTTTTAGGCAGAGCTGAAGGAGTCAAGATTTAAAAGATGCAGGATAAACACAAGAATTGTGAATATAGAGCACAGTAGGTGTATTTATACGTAGTAACAGTGTTATCTGAGCAGTGCTGTTTTAAAGGTTAACATTTTTATTACCAATAAACCACATACAACCAAAATCCGGACTTGAATGTTTTTTTTAAGTTTTATTTTAGATTTGATCTGATATTAATTTTTTTTAAATTAGGATTCATATCAGGATTTCCTTTTGTGCTTTGCTGAACTGATCCAATACATTTAACTGTGAGAGGTATGAACAAAGTGATTTTTCTTCCTCTCTCAATGCACTGTTACTTGGAACTGCAGAACTTCATATTCTGCAGTTTAGAGTTCTTGATTACTTAATTCAAAGAGTAATATGGATTTCTCTCTGATCCTAATGCCTGATCGTTTTTGCAATCAGATAAAACAATCAAGAAAGTAGTATATAAATGACTAAAGGATTAACAGAAGCAATTCACATGCTTATATGAAAGCACATAGCTGTTCCAGTCACCTGTACTCCATTTTCAAAGGAGCATTAAACCTGCACTGTGGATACCTGAACTGTGGTTTCCAGCTTGCTCAAGGTGCACAAGCAGATCTGAGTAACTGGATTTCTTTTTGCTTTTCCTTTAAACAGTTTCACAAATCAAGCCAATCATTAGTTTTTCAAAAATGTCTTGTTGCTATTTAAAACATCTAAATGATAATTCTTCAGGATTCACATTTTGGAAGAAAGAAAAATATTCAGTCTGACCTGAAAACAACAGTACACCCACCAGAATTTCCCATAGGTATCAGTTCCTTTCAAAAAGGACATTTCAAAGTGGTAGGAAATATGAAGTTAATAAAACCTTTGAGATTCTTACTCGTCAAAAAAATATTTTGTTCCATGAGTAAACAGATCTCCAATGCACACATTTATACAGGGAACTCTATTTTATATTACAATTTTATTCACTTGCTATGAATAGTCACAACATTATTCTACTGCAGAGAATCTATTCAGTATATTTGAAAATCCATTTATTTTCATTTATTGGTATGCATGTGTTACACTTGTATATAATACAGTATTTTCAACACTGGTTAAGAAGAAGGAAACAAAGAAAACATGTATTGAGAAACATGATGTAGATTTTCAAACAAATAGAGGTAATATTTAGATTTTACAAAACAGCACATTTACAGTTTGCACTGTCCCAACCTCTTTAAGATGCTACCTTCCATCCTGAACCTCAGCACAAAGCCATATAATACTAATTCATCCCAAAATACCAAGAGAGTTAGTTTCTGCTACAAATGGTTTATTCCAAATAAATTTTAATCAGAAAATAAGATCTTTTTCTGTCAACATATTTCTTATTATTTCCCAGCAAAATGATAGAATATACTTCTCAGTTTTATTCCCAACAGTCATTTATTTTACTTAAGCTCTCCTGTGCAATAATACAGCAGAGGTAATGAAATGCTTTTGGAACAGCAGGAGCTACAGTGACAGGCAGAGCTTGCCAGGGTGTTCATCCATCACAGAACTTAATATATAACTAAACTAGCCATGTCAATGGCTTTAATGATTAAACCATTTATTTCTATTCCCTTTTTTCCCTTTCTTTTTTCTATTTTTGAGGGGTTTTTGCTGTGTTTGCTAACCACACAGGACTTAAGCTTACCACTATGTATTTTTGACTACCATTAAGTGCATGTGGCTTTCAATTCAACTCACCAAAGCATCCAGTCAGAACTCCCTCTAGTCAGTGTGTTTATGCAGTGTCACTAAAAGGAATTGCCCAATTTCTTTTGTATCAACATTACAGATGGTACAATATACATTAAATGGAGTATAAAATTATACATTCTGTAATAACTTAGTAAAAAGCTCAAAGATGCTTAAGGCCTTCAAATATTGAGGATTTTTTCATGTAACAACACATCGCAAAGTTCAAGAATTTCTAACAAAACCAAACAGATCTGAATTGGATGACTGTACACAAGCAAAATACCCATAAAGTGTAAAACTAGGAGAGCACTAGGACTTTTTTCCTTTATGGCAAACAGACTGAGCAGACATCTACATAAGCATCCATCAGTATTTAGGTTCAAGCAAGAGATTTTATTTTTTTAATAAAAAGACAAAAATTCTGAATTATTACCATCCAATATCATAATTGCAAATCTCATTTACATCCCTGCCTACCTTTGTAAAAAAGGGATGAAATAGTGTAATTGACTGCTTACCATCAATTTAAATGAATTAAAGGTTAGGAAAGTAAAGTACATACTGGGTACACCCATTTCCTTCAAACTAAATGGAAATGTATATATTAAAGATATAAAATGCCTTATAATGGAAGTAGTAATTGAATTTTGACCACTACTTCCTTTAACTGTTAAGCTGCAGTAGTTGGCTAGCCTTGGGGAAACATGTCAACCTGACTATACATTCTAATATAACTGATGTATTCAGATAACTATTACTTGTCAACAATAATTATTAACAATGGATATATAATTCCATTCCTATAAGAAAGCAACTTCAAGATGTTGAAATATGTACCTTTGAGAGCTGCAAGATTAGAACACAAATAAAAATACCTAAAACTGTGCCATGCTTGAGGACAATTTCTGCAAAAGAAATTTAATTAAAGTAGTGTGCAGTCCCACCAGCAATCTGAACAGTGGACCAAGGGTCATTTTAGAGTGAAGGATCCAATACATTTCAGAGTTTGACTTCTTCAAGATGAAAAGCCAGTGATCTGCAATGGAGAACCCAAAAGTTTGCTGCTTTTCTGCACCTTTAGAATATTAGATCATGATTACAGCTGCAAATTCCTCAGCAAGTGCAATTTTACAAGTGTACACAGTTCAATCAGTTGAAATATTTGTGACATAGAAGTTCAAAATAACTTTCCAGTAGTTTTGATCTCAAGGCTGTTGCTGATTGCAAGTCAGGTTCTCATTGAAACAATTGATTCTGAAGGATACACCCCAGCAGTATAAAATTTCACTTCAAGGACTGCCTGGAGGAATGAAATTCCTATGTGTTGTATTTAATGTTATCAGCCTTAAGACTGGCTTGATTTGTCTTTAGTTATCGGGTTACCTGTAAAGAAAAAGAAAATGAGAAAATCAAAAATTGGACATAGCGAATCTGCTTCCGAAGTGCTGGAAGCAGACTGAAGTGTAAGATCTCTGTCCAGCAAACTTCTTTTGATTGTTTTTAAATAAGAGAATAAACCCCAATGGTATTAGAGGGTATTGCTCCTCAACTTAAATTGTGTTATTAAGTGCTTTATGAGAATAGGATTTGACAAGGAGAAATTGAAATATGAACATGCTTAAAACTATAATAAAATCATTAATTGTCAACCCACAAATTTATGTTTTCTGTTACTCTTTTTTGGTTGTTGTTAAAAATTCTGTATGGTAACGACTATGCTTTTTATATGTTAGCTATTGGGTATACAGTGACTGATACTGGAGCTGTATTCTTCCATCCTTTGCATGCATCTTTACAAAACAATCATAACACCATAGAATAATTTAGGTTGGAAAAAGCAATGTTCTTTTAAAGGCTTAATGTATCTTAGCAAGCAATAATCACTTAGTGGAGAAATAGGACAAAACTCATGCGCAAGTTAACAAGAGATAGAGATCCTGTTATTCACAAAGTAAAAAATTACCAAGGATTTAATTTAAAGTGGTTTCACCCAGTCTAACATGAAACAAGAGGGAAACAGAAGGACCTCAGAAAAAGAGTGGGGGACAAAGCATTTCACAATAATTTTACAATAATCCCTCTAACTAATCTGGATTTTAAACTTTAAAAGAAAAAAATTGTTATATCAAAGAAACATAACTTTGAGGATTATTTCTGCTGTGTCAGTGGATACAATTAATCATCACGTAGTATTTTAATATCAAATTGTGTCAGGGGGAATGTCCCAAGGTTCGAGGGACAACTCATTGGAATGGTCACAACAGTTTATGACATCAAGGGACATATGCTTTTCATTTGGATTACAGAGACAAGGGTTATGCTCCTTAATGATGAAACATTCTTTTGCCCTCAGCAAAACTGTTTGCATACAGCTCTTGTCAGCTCTGCAGAGCATAAACGTAGAACAAACAGAATATTAAACAGACTGTTCAAGGAGTTCATTACTTCGGCCTGCCTTCTCCACAGAGTTGTTTCTAGGAACTGCACTTGAGGCAATAATAAAATTGTGCTTTGTGATTTTTATGATACATGGGTTTATTTATTACATTGCTTTTATTTTGCTTTGGTCTTGCTGTTGGAAACAGCCTCATGTGGTCCCTCCTAAAGTGGAAGATTGCCTGAGAAAATAATAAAGAATTAATTTAACAGTCAGGCAATATATTTCTGTGCCCTGCACCAAAGCTCAAAAGGCTGATGCACCATCTTATTTTTTTTTTTTTTAATTTACTGTAGCAAGCTGGAATTCTACTCATGGACCCAGGTGCCACCGAGCTACACAATGTAAAATACACATCATCTGATACTATCTGCAGGTGGAATTTTATTGGCTTCATTTGTGATACATGTCTCTATAGCTATATCTATGTCTACCTATCTGTCTATCGAATAAAGAGCCACTAAGGCAAATAAGACACAGGAGCATCTCATATGAAGAAAGGCTGAGAGCATTGGAACTGTTCAGCCTGAAAAAGAGAAAGCTCAGGGGGAAAGACATCAATTTGTACAAATATGTGAAGAAAGGGTTGCAAGAAAATGCAGGCAGACACCTTGCAAGTGGTGCCCAACAGCAGGACAAGAAACTGAGAACAAGCAAACACAGGCAGTTCCCTCTCAGGAAAAAGTTTTTTACTGAGCACTAGCACATATTGCCCAGTGAGATTGAGGGCTCCATTCTTGAAGATATTTAAAAGCTGTCTTGTCCTTACTGGCTTTAGATGTCTCTGCTTAAGCCAGGGGATGGCACTTCCAGAATTGCCTTCCAATCTCAACTATCCTGTGATGTAAGATTTATGTTACGCCCAGTTCTACACATGGACTAAGGTGATAAACTTCAGATAACAAAAATGGCATTTTTGCACATACATGACTGCTCAATTACATGGCTGTTTTGAAGTGCAAATGTATTTTCAGTCATAAGAAAATTCAGTAAAGTAACAATCTGCAGGGCTATCTGCTCCCCTCACCTAGCACTACAACACTGTGGTGAAAATATCTCCATGAAAGCAACATACACTGTCACATAAATTGGATAGGTGATAAAAATAAGAAGAAAAAAGAGCAGATAGCCATTCAGATTTCTGCTCTATATCAGGTCACTCACATACATATACATATACATATACATATACATATACATATACATATACATATACATATACATATACATATACATAGGTCCACATTTGCCTCTGTGTATGATGTTAATACTTCTTATTTTCAAGCATAGATTGCACATCAACATTAATGAAAGTTATATATCCATATACCATACATGTCAGGGAGTGGATAAACTTCTTGGTTTTTTAAAGGCAGTTTCATACAGAAGCAATGAGATTTTAGCTAATAACTAATGATGGTAATCCCAGAAATGCTTAATTTTGGGTATAGTAAATGCTATTTGATTTAAGTGTCTGGGAAGTAAGGTATTAAGGTATTGTGACAAAGGCCTTTATAGGAAAAGAGGGACCAGTAACAATATGTATCTGATCTTTAAAATCCTTAGAGAAGAGTAACACCCTGAAGCATGCACATCAAGTTTTCAGTTAATAATTAATATGTATGGAAAATTAACAACACAAATTTTAAAAGTACTTTAGCATCCTAGGTGTTGATTTGAATTAACTTGTTCATTCTTGGAATGCAATTACTCTCTTTATACTAATAAAATTTCTCACGTAGTTGTTATATCATAGATACACCACATTAGATGATCTTCATTTTCCTATCCTAAATATGCAATTAAAGCATAATTACTCTGCAGTTGCAGACTTTTTAATTTAAATTAGTGAGTAGCTGCTGTAAATTGGCTGTAATTGTATGTGGACTCACTTGTTTTATTTTAACACAACAATATATATAATTAAATGCACCTGAAGATTTCCACTTCATTCTGCTCACTAAATGTTCAGAACAAACTCAGTCTTTAGGTAAAATGTTTTTGCCAGGATAATAAAGAATGGATCAGAGATTAAAATATCTCATGACACCACATGAGAAAAGCTACCAGCCTCAAGAGATTTTTCTGGACAACCACAATGGGTGAAAAATATCCTCATTTGTGAAATCCACACAGTGGATGAATAGAGCAGATAATATTGTTTATTTCATTGGAATAGATTTTCAATAAAAACTAAGTCTGATACTTTTACTCAGGACTTTCTTCTGCCTTAGAAAAGGAAGGAAGAAAAATCAAGACTATAGGATGTAAAGAATGGCTGAGACAATATTCACTGAATACTAAAGCACTTCTCCCTAAATTCAAGCACCTCAGGATCAAAGTTACAAAACCCCAATTAGATATAGTAAAAGTCTTCTGTTTCTTCAGAGAAACAAATATATCACAAATCATTAGCTATCTACAGAATAGCTTCTACATCCAAAAGTAGGCACATAATTAATTGTTATATAATAAATTTAGAATAAAATAGATAACAATATATGGTGTATTGAAATTAAATGTGTGCTGGAAGGTTTCATAAAACAACTTGTACATTACTATTTTTTGACTGGCAGCTTTTTGAATTTTTTTCTGTGTTTATCATAAGCCATGCACAAAATCTATATTGAAAACTGACTCTAAAGTTTGCAAAGTGAAGCACTTGAAAGATAGCACCTTGCCTTTTTATATGTCCCCTTGCAATTTAATTCTCTCTCTTTTCTATCATACACAGTAAAGAAGAGACTTTAGTGCGCGGGGAGAGTTGGAGGAAAAACAGAACTATATATCAATGCAAATGCAGAAAAGGTAAAATTTTTAAGCCAATGTTTCTTGCCTTGACAGATGATTCCACAAGGAATGGATGCACCCTCTGTTCTGGGTTTTCTCCAAAGAAACAGGAAGTACTTAATAGAGGATTTTTTCTTTTTAATTAGAACTGTTCCATTGACCATATAGGATTGTGTGTGATCACAGGTCATGTCATCTAAGCATACTCAGTCTGTCTTTTTTTTTTTTTCTTTCTTTTTTTCTTGAGATACGTAAGACACAGAAAGGAAATTATTTTTTGTGAAAGCAATTAATATTTCACCCTGAGCTAAGCATAATTTCATAAGACAAAATTGACTTGGCACCCCTTCCATTTTTCTCTAAAATATTAAAAGCCTGTGGGAAACAAAAATGGAATGGGGAGTTCAAGCAAAAATAAAAGGGGTCTCATAAATTTATTTAATAACCAACATGAGATATGCTAAATGCAGGAAATTACAAACGCCATAAGGAATTTGTTGAAGAATTGCCTACAATGGATTGTCCTCTAAGTCCTAGAGAAAAGAGAGAGATCCCATACCAAAACAGCCCTTGTTTGTATGCAGTATATTTCTGTCCATTTTTTGTCATTATTGTGGTATCCTTTCTTATACTGTATGCAAAACACCACAAAAAATTAATAAAATTATTAACAAAGTGACTCTTTAGGAAACCTTTCCTCAGAAGGAATGAACTCAGGAGGGCTATATCACTCTTTTTTTTTCTCTAACATAAATAATTTTGTTGTGGTAGGAAGAACTTAATATAAATACTACAGTGTAGAAACAGAAGGGCACATATAACCAGAAACAAATAGCTGCCAGTGCATTTTTTCTACTCATGCCCTCTGAGAATGAGGCTGAGGTTGGAAATGGATCTTTTGAACAGATGGAAGCACACTATTTCCTGGAACTTTAAAATCCATACAATGTGTTTGCCATGCACTATCATTCATACATGGCTTGTGAAAGCAAATGACAGCTTGCACTGCCACTTGTGCATGTTCATTCACTGAAACAGTTCAACTTGTAAGCTTGGAAAATGCTTCTGTTTTAGTACCAGTGATAATCCAAAGTACTTTGCAAATGTTAACAAAAGACAGATTCACAATTTCCTCACAGATGGATAATCATGCAATTTATGTTCCAATGAATTGGGAAAAGTGGACAAAAAGATGTGAAGGACCTTTCTGGAATAGGGCTTGTATATGTATAGACCCTTTACAGTAGGTAGATGTGGATTTAGGTCTTTATTGCTAGATAACTGGGTTTCTGGAGGCAGGAGGAACCATTTCAAAAGCATGAGGAATAAAGGTGGCTCAAGTGCATTTCAAGGGAACTTCAAGAAAGAACAATGAGGACACAGGCTCTTATTTTAGTATTTCAGACAGCTCTTTGATTAGGCTAATGACAAGAGGCAAAATTTGAGTCACTTGTGAGCAGTCTGGAAAACAGGTATTTAATGATAACTACATGGATTCAATTACCTTCAGAGAAGGTTATGTATTGGAAGAAAATTTTTCAAGTCATCAAATGTTTCATTCCTGTTTATAAAATTCTGACCCTACCTAACTTTTTATTTAAGAACTCAAGAGCTTCAAATCATTCCCTTAGTTTTATTTTAGGCACTGCATTATGAAAAGTATTAATCTAAACATGTTCCCAAGCCTGTTAAGTGATTAGAATTCTAGATCCTCATGCTTGTCCTTCAGGAGCTATGACTAGCTCATTTTATTAATTAAAAAGAGTATTTCCCAGGACACGACTCAAAAGTTTCTTTGGTCTTTGATAGCCATGAGATTCTGAAACCTTATCATTCTTTCATATTTTTATTGCATAGTGACTACTTAGAACTGCACTTGTGATACCTCCTGTGCTTAGGACTTCCATTATAGAGAGACAACATTCTGAAAACTCATTTCATGCACTGCCGTTTGAAATATAACTGCAGCCCTTTATTTTCCACTGCTCTTAAGGATTTCAACAGGAAATTTTTGCTGGTAAAGTGAAGATCTAGACAATCAGTGTTAAAAATTTTAATTGAAACTAAAGGTCTTTGGAAATCTTTACCATGTAAAGCGATCTTTGCACTTACTTCAAATAGTTTGAAAAGTAGGACTAGTAAAGTAGTAATGGAAAAATACCTCAGAGCATGGCATATGTGTCTGTAAATGATAGAGATCTTCATCTTTAACACAATTTTAAGATAAACAACTTCTAGCCCATCTTAGGAATATAATGGAAATACCCAATTCTTAGTTTTTTATGAAATTTAAGTAATTCAGTATGTGATACTGAGCGTTCAACTACAGATGCCACACCAGACTGGATGTATTAAGTGGACTTCTCTTCCAAGAGCATCTGCTGTTTTTCCATGAGAGTAAGTAACTTAAGCTTACCAACTGGGTCTATCTTTGAAAGTCAAGAGTGTGAAGATATTTTAGGGCTCCCAGAAACATCTAAGTAGCACTCTGAGGCTGCTTAGTAGCACAGTCAGAATCTCTCCAACCACCCTCCAAAAACTCTGCCAAAATGAGCCACAAGTCTTTAATGTCCACAGTAAACTAAGCAACTGCAATGAGGAGTAAGGTACAACAATTCCTGTAAATACTATGTAAACCTGTATTTGTACACACCTGCTGCTCTGTGAGTAATAAACCGGGGCTGGAACACATTTTCTGGAGTGGTTTGACTCTTTATTCCTCACCGAACGTTCTGGCCCCTCCTTAGAATCCGACCAAGACTAGGATTCATCACAACTAGTGCTCCAACGCGGAGCCAGAATATTTTTTGTGTGTGGAAAAAATAAAAATTGTCATCAGGCACAGCAGAAACCTCCTTTCTCTACTTCTCCATTCGGACTTGAGGAGTTTTACACGTTTGCCTAAGAAACAAACACATGTCAAGTACTACACTGTTATGTAATTAGTTACAGAAAACAAAACTGGGATAGTTGGAATATTTTTTCAACTTACAAGGAAAAATACAAAATGACAGGTTAAAACATTTCAGAATCAGAGAAAATTTTCTTAGGAAAAGTGCATGGTCTTAAAAATACCTAAACATACTCAAATTCAAACCAAAAAGCAATAGAAACTGATAGATTACACTCATTTCTGAAAGTATATCAGCAAAATTTAAGTATGACAAAACAGTAATTGAGAAGTTCTTTGAGAATAAGTTCCTACATAGACCTGTGGTACAGAAAGGAGTCATGAAGTCAGAAGACAATTCCTTCAAAATGAAAGCTTTTAGTGTGTTCTCCTCATATATGTTTAAAGTAAAAAAAAAAATAGAAGGTTACAAAAAACACTATAAAATAACAGAAGACACATTACACATTTCAAAAGTCAATATTCAATTCAGATAGATAGCTGTTTATCTAGATATTTCAGATAGATTTTGAACCTGTCAATAATGACTCCTTCTAAAGTGATACGCAGCATCTCAAAAGATCACGAAAATTTCTTTGTTTTCTTCTTTTATTTTCTTCTCTTTTAACTTAAATATCATGCTTCAGATCATTGAAAATAAGCAAGATTAAACTCAAAACTTCAAAAGTTTCTTGCTTAAATAAAATCTCTACATATTTGAATACTATGAAACCAATTAATATGGTCCTGTGTTCATATTTCCTTGAACTGGATAGTTTACAACTGGGACAATTATGATAGTGAATAGTTGATGAAGATATATGAATTACATGAAGGCTAAATTCAATTTGTTAGTCCTTCCTATGTACTCATTATTACTGTCTTCCAAAAGGTTATGTCACTGTATTGAACATACCCTAATTTTCTCAATGTTTCTGTAACTCAGTAGAGAACAGAGTTCATTGTAGAATTATTTTAATGTAGTACAATATTTCATTTACAAACAAAAGTTTTATGCTAAAAGAAGACTTAAACAAAAACCTTATTTTACTTTCTGTAACAGATAATAACTGCAACAATTCAGACAAGGATATATCCTCTTGAGGTTTTTATGGTGCTCACAACTCCAAATTGGGACTGCAGCATGGCGGCATAAAAGACTGCAAGACAATTAATTACATAAATGCAATTTTGTTATCATCTATACCACTTATCCTACCTAATCATGCCAACTGGGAGATAAAAACAACCTCTTTCCTTTCAACATATACAGAAACTGAAGCATAATAAAGAGTCATGATACCCTTCCAGCTGTCAGGAAGTAAGTGGAAATGGAGAGATGGGAACAGAGTCCTTCTGTCTTTGGCTTTATCTGACATCACTTACCTATAGAAAAGGTTGCACTTGTTTTTTATTGGAAAGGAAAACCTATAACAAGAAGTTTTCTGTGTTTACATTCTAAATATGAAAGTGCAAAGCAAATTTAAAAAATTCAAACTCAGCCTTGTTTTAAAACTAGTCTGAGGTTCTAAACTATCTAATAGGCACAAAGGATTTTCATATTTTAATATCTTTTTCTAGAAATGGGGTCAGACTGAACTTCCAATTATCCCTACTAAAAAAATCATGTAGTCTAATTTAACCAAATTTGAGATCTTTTTCTTCTTCAAATTTTATGTTGTAGCATTTTTCCTGGTATTTTGAATGGAGAGTAACAAGCCATTTGGACAAGTTCAAAATAGAAATGTAAATGATTTCCTTACCTGTAATTTTATCTTCTCTATAAGAATACCTGCTGTTCTGTTAGTGCAGTACTGATGTGTTTTCTGCCTTTGTCCCAAGCTTCAGAGATTCCTCTGGTGATTTTTCCCCACTTGCTTACCAGCTTCCACTACTGGCATTTTGAGGAAGTGCACTCACATTTGGCTCCAGGAATACTGCCATAGCTGAGGGAATATAAGACAACTAAAAAACAAGTTAGAAAACAGCAGAACTAATATCCAGGAAGGAAAAAATATTTTAAAACAATGAATCAGTCATCAACTTGAATTCCTTCAATCATTTTCTTTTTTCTTTTCATCCATTTAGAATTTCCACATGAAGAAAAGACTTTTCTGTGCTTGGAGAAATTTTGGCTTAAAAAATGGGTACTGACAGAGTAGTGGGTACCCTTTCAGAGAATATAAAATTAATTTCAGGAAATGTAATTTTAACCTTCTCCTGTATGAGTACCCATCATGCCATCACTCCAATACAGAGAAAAAAGAGAAGAAATAGAAAAAAAGAGAAGAAAGATAAGGATAAGAAAGGTGGCAGATTTGGAGGATTTCAGAAAAATCTCTGATATTTTTTCTCAAGTCCTAATAGAAATGTGGAAAAGGAAGACTGGGCTTTTCACCCAGAGGCTGTCATTATTGAACAATATGAAGTATTTCTCATTGTCCAGGAAAACAACATATAAATTCTCTTTCACTAAGACATAGTCAAGATTATGGTTTCTGATTCCCAATAGTTGTAGTCATCTTGGGCAAAGATGAAAAGAGCAAGTACTGCCAGTTTAATAAGTAAATGTTTTCTTGCTTGAGCATTATGGAGACATCCAGGTGAAAATTACAATACCTTGTAACATCTCTGTACTTAGGATCACCTGGATACTATTTTTGAACTTTGCAGCACACAGAAAAGAAGTATTCTGTCAAAGCTAAAAATGGATGCTAGGAGTTTCAACTAAGAACCTACTGTGGTATTCAACTTGTCTTTCTTATAGAACCTGCCTAGTTGTCTTCATATATGCATTTTCTCATTATCTTATCTAAATAGAATATGACCTAAGACAAAGTATGAATGAATCAAAGTAGCTAATTGCAATTAGACACTGGAATTCTAAAATCTCAGGTAGTGAAGGAAAGACCAAAGACTCAGAAGAGGTCGTTGACTTCAAGTTTCAGGAATGTAAGTACCAATTATGTGATTTAAGGTTGTGAGAAAGAAAAAGGATTCTTGCAATTTCCTGATTGACCTTCGAAATAGTAATTGGCTTTCCAAGAAATAGGCTTCAAATTTGTCAAGTTGCATTCTAGAAGAAAGTCTCCTGCTCCTTTTTTGTTCTTTGTGGATGAGGAACAAGAATTATTAGCAAGTGGAATTGGAATGATGCTTTGAAGATGAGAAAATTACACTTTCCAAGGTCACTCTCACAAGGAATCAGGATAGAGAAATCTCCAATTTCTAGAACTCTAATCTGATTTTGGGACGCATTTGCCTGAATTAGAAACAGCATGAGCAGACATACAGCCCTTTGGTCCTCCTTTGGTAGGAACAAGTTCCTAAGGCATGAAGTTTGAATTCAGGATGAAGAAACAAGTTCTTCTGGCTGGAATCAGTAATTTATCTTCTGACATTCTTCAATCTGAAGAGACAAAACTACAGCTCTATTAAAATTCTCAGATCTATTACTGCTGAGTTTGTAGATACATGTTGATTAGACACAATCCATTGTTTCCTTGAGAACCCACTGATCTTCATAAACTGGAGACAAATTTTTGATTGGTCTTGCCAACATAATTTTACAGGTTTCATCATACAAATAAGCCCTGGTGGACTGCATATTTTGTAGCTTCACCCAGAATCTGGACTTCAGAGTTCTATGGCATTTAACACTGCAGACATGGAAGGTGATGGATGATAATCAGGACTGTAAGATATAAGAAGGGATCATCTGTGTATTCTAATAACGCAGTAGAAGAAAGCTCAGCGTCCATTTTATAGAACATGGAAAGTCATATGGAGTCTTTTCTCTATACATAGCAGAAGTGTCTTTCCTGAAATTGACTTGGTGCTCACCAGGGTGGTAGAAAGAGTAAACTACAAGACATGAAAAAAATGAGCAGTTTTTTAAATTGTCATTGAAATTAACTCTATGTTGCTCGTCTTCTTTGTAAATTTAGTCATAGGCAGCAATCTTCTGTTTATTCTTGCTTGAAATTTTTCTTTGTTTAGAAGAGTTTTCACAAGGGATAGGACTATCTTCATTATTCTTAGGGAGAAATAGTTAAGATTTACAACCATGCTCACTTTGCTATGCAATGGAATAATGTCTCAGTAATCTGATTTCAACTGGTTTGAGTTGTTCACTCCTCCAACAGTAATTCTGTAGGCTCAGAATGCTCTGTATGTCTTCTAGCGATTCATAGCAATTATTATTCATTTCCTCCCTATAAGGTAGAGCTGCACCAAGGGATGTTTCTGATGTTTTCTATAACTAGGCCTAATGAGTTAGGAAATACCCCAAAAAAACCATGTTATTTTGAAGAAATTAAAGCATTACCTTTTGAACAATTGAGGCCCAGTTTTCCACTCCCTCATACATTTCTGCAACTAAGCAGTGATGCAGAGTTTTTGAAGCCTGTGCCAAACACCCAGGGAAAGAAGAAAAAATTCTGCCTGCAGCTATTTAAGCAGCAGCTCATGTGAGGTTTCAGAATACCCTGGTCTCTCTGACCAGAAATATATCATTTCTGACTTGCAGAAATGATCCAAAGAAGCCCCTACAGACTAAAAAGGAGGATGAGACAAGCACTAGTTTTAGAGCATGCTAGCATGACTCACATGATACTGGCATTTGAATATCATCTTGTACAGAAATTTCTGAGATATTAGAAGCTGACAAAAAATTTCCAAGAAAATTTACAAGGACTACTAGATGTTCAAAAAGTCCTTCTTGCACAGCTGTGAATGGCAAAGTGACTGGCAGAATGAAGCTGCAAATGGAAGTGGAAACACCTTTGATTTTGTTGTCTGGACATTGTAAAAGTGGAAATTCATGGGGTGAATGAATTGAAGAAAACTAATCATTAACAAACAGTTTAAGGACTAGTTCTTATTTTCCATCACAGACGCAGAAAATTATTTTTCAGACATGAGGTCAATATCTCAAATATGCCAACAAAGGACAAGGCAGAAGAATAAAAAAAGTAAATCACAAGTTGAATCTTTTGGGACAAAGGCAGAA